TGTAGGGTAGAACAAAGACACACTGAAGAACCCCAAACTTTTCCCTCTCTACAGCCCTTATGAGCCAGGCTTTGATGGTCTCCCTCCCGCTCCCTTCTCCAGGAGACCATAGCAGGACTGACTGCACAGCTGGAGGCCTTCCAGGCCAAGATGAAGAGGGTGGAGGAGTCCGTTCTGAGCCGAGACTATCAGAAGCACATCCAGGTAAGGGCATTACCCTGGGTTTCTTTGCTCATTGGATCTTCAAAGAGGTCTGGGTTGGGCAACAGGTAAGGTTGCCCTCCCTTCCAGGGCAAGGCTCAGACCGACACCCTTACCTTCACGAGAGCCTGGAAGCAAAAGGCTCTCCATTTACCGAGGATGAAAATAAGGCTTAGAGACAGGCACGTGGGATAGTAATGTGCTCAGCTCGGCTTTCAGAAAGAGCCGGGTGCAAATAGCAAACCTCCCACTCACCACCGCAACTCAACAGACCTGAGCACAGTGTGCTCATCTGCGAAGGGACTGGCGCACGCCTCAAAGGCTGTCGTTAGGATACAGTGAGACAACGCAGAGTAATATTACCACAGGCCAAGAGCAGAGGCCGACAGAGAACACTGGACAGTGAGTTGGTGGCAGAACGGGGAGGAGGGATGTAGCCCGTGCCCTTCTCTACCTGCTGGTCTGACGAGGTCACTCTGTGTTCCTGTCTAGGATTATGGGAGCCCTAGCCAGTTCTGGAAGCAGGAGCTGGAGAGCTTGCACTTTGTCATTGAGATGAAGAACGAGCGTATTCATGAGCTGGACAAGCGGCTGATCCTCATGGAGACAGTGGTATGTGGCTAGGAGGAGCTGGAGGGAGACAGCCTCGGGCTTCTCTCTGGGTATTTCCTTTATAAAGTGAGCAAAGGGGAGTCCTTTGAGGAGGCCCCAGCCTGGTCCATACCAGCTTTCACCTGCCACCCGCGCTGATCAGCTCAGGCTGGCCTGAGGCCAGTCTGGGTCAAGCTGCAGCTCCTTGTCATCTGGGTCCTGAGCTTTTCTTCACTTTGCATGTGCTGTAGCTTGAGTGATGCTGGGGCAGGTGGCCTGGCTACTCAGGCTAGCAGATGTCACCTGTGAGGCAGGGGCTGAGGAAGGCGGAGAGGCTGGAAGGCCAAGCAGACATGGGTGGCCAGCTTTGACAAGGACAGGGGAGGACGCTGGTGGCTTTGTCTCCAGAACAATGGCCTCAGAAGCCTCAAGCTGAATCTGAACAGAGGTTACATAGCTGTTTTCTCTTTTTTTTTAAGAATTGCTTATCTAGTTTTATTTAGCATTATTATTTTATAATTTGCTACAGAGCACATATGCTCAGCAGAGAGAGAGACAGAGAAAGAAAGGGAAAGTGAGAAAGCAAGCCGCCAGGCGTAGGACTCGAGCTGCAGTTGGCCATATAGGAGTCCAGTGCCTTAACCATCACGCCACCTGCCTGCCCCAGAAATTATATACCTTTGGAAGAAGACTCCTTGGCCTCCTGCGTACTGTAAAGTCTATTTAAATCAGACTATCTCAGAGGTTTCCTGTCAATACTGTTGAACTATTGTTGTGGAAAAGCATAAGAAACATGAATTTGGGGGCCAGCAGGTGGCTTGGTGGTTGGGGCACTGGACTCTCACATGGCTGATTGCGGTTCAAGTTCAAGACTTGGCCCCTTGTTTTCTCACTTTCCTTCTCTCTCTCTATGGTCAAATTAAAAATAATAGTAACAATGATAAATACAATTAAATAACTAATTCCTTTTTTTAAAAAAAATGAAAGAAACTTGGATTTGTTCATATGGAGTATCCCTGAGCAGATAGCATGGGAGGTAACAGCAACTATCCTTTTTTTTTAGAGGTTTTTGCTATAGGGCGCATGCGCTCGCCAGAAAGGCAGAGGGAGACAGAGAGACAGAATGCAAGAAATCACCCCCCAGGGGGGATGGTCACGCCACAATCCCTTCTCCTCCATTCTCCTCTCGGGATCTTGGGCACGCACGCACACACGCCCGGCATGAATTTCAGCCACCGGGTCTGGGACTCGAACCGCAATCGACTACATGGGAATCCAGCGACATAACCATTACACTAATTGCCAGTCCCTATCCTCTTTTTTTTAATTATTTTATTTCATTTTATTTATTCATTCACTTTTTAATTTGACCAGAGAGAGAGACACACAGAGGGAGAGAAGGAAATTAAGAAAACAAGCCACCAGGTCTGAGACTCGAACCATGTTCAGCCATGTGGGAATGTCCAGCACCTTAACCACCATACCACCTGCTGGTTCCCACAACTATCCTCTTAACATTGGCCTGTGTCCAAAATAGAAGTTGGCAGCACTTTGTGAACTCCTTGGTTTAATTTTATCATCATCCTATTGCTCCATGACACGTAACAGCCGGGCTAGAAGTCTGAGTTTCAGTGACCGCAGATAAGGGAGCGGTGAGAGCATGCGTGTACTGCCTGGGCGCAGCAGCTCTCTGAGCTCATGTTGATTGTTACAGAAAGAGAGGAACCTGCTGCTGGAGGAAAAAATCACAACCCTGCAACAGGAGAACGAGGACCTCCACGTCCGAGGCCGGAACCAGATGGTCGTGTCCAGGTAGCTATCCGCTGGCCTCCTTGCCTCCTTCCCCACGCTTTCTGCCCCAATCTCCCATTCATGGAGTTGCAAAGGATCCTGAGGAATGGGTCGACAGGTGGGTGCAGGCCTGTCTGGGGTCATGGCTCCTCTTCCCCTGGGAGTTGAGGAGCTCAGAAAGTCAGCTCTGTCCAGAAGCCAAGTCCCAGTGCCCCAATTCGTGTCCGTCTCTGTCCTGGCCCCGTGGGCTCTGTGGGCGAGCCCGATACGGGGAAAAGGAAGCAGGAAACAGGTACCTCACCAACCTACGTGGAATGAGTCAGGTCTCAGGGCTCAGGAAATGAGAACAAGTGTCATGGGTCAGTATAATTTACTGAATACTTTTCATATTTGCATCCAATTCTCATAATGACTCTCATAATAAGTACTATTATTATTATTATTACTCCCATTTTACCAATGAGGAAGGTGAGTTCAGTGAGAGTGAAGGGCTTATCCAGGATGCCACAGCCCAATTGTGGGGCAGAGATTTGGAGCAGCCCAGAACTGTCTGCCTATGGGCCCGACCGGGCTCTTTGGTCAACACCTTGAACTGCCTCTCGTGTGCTGGCACACGGGGTAGTGAGGACCCTGGAGCAGGCTGGTGGCCCATCGAAGGAAGGCTCCCTGGGGGTCGGGTTGGTCTGCACAGCAGCTGTTCCCAGCAGGAACCGTGGGCTCCGTCTGCATCCACAGGCAGCTCTCAGAAGACCTGCTTCTTGCCCGCGAGGCCCTGGAGAAGGAGTCACACTTACGACGACAGCTCCAACAGGAGAAGGAGGAGCTGCTGTACCGGGTCCTCGGGGCTGACGCCTCCTCCGCCTACCCTCTGGCCTCTGTCACCCCCACCGAGGTCTCTTTCCTGGCCACATAGGGCACGCAGCGTGGGCCTGCCATGACACCTGTGGTCACAGCTCCTTCCAAGGACTTTCCAGAGGAGACAGGAGAAGCCTCTCAGTTCTCTTCCCAGAAAGGAGCGAGGTGGGAGTGAGATTGGGAGCCAGGGCGTGTGCCCAGGGAGCCCTGAGGGCTTGGGTCACACAGATCACCACGGGGCTTTGGAGGCCCTGAGAGTGTCTTTCCTTGGGTTGGTCCAGGGAACGAGTAAGAGGAGTCCTTCCCTGCTCCCCTCTCTGTCCAAATTGGGAGGTTCTAAGGCTCTCCCCAAGGGCAGCTTGAGCCACTTCAGCCATCTGACAAGGAGACCACCCAGTCCTGGCTTGTCAGCTTTGCTGCCAGCTGGCCGACTTCTCGGCTTCCCCCAAATACTCCCATTCTGCCCTGTCCTTTCCTCGGTCTCGGTTTTCCCTGCTCTAAAACATGTGCGGGGACTGGTCAGATGGCACGAGTCACTGTAGTGTCAAGTGTAGGGGTACCTGGAGGTCATACTGGGGCAGTGGACAAACCCTGTGAATCAGGCCCAGAAGTGAGCACCTGGGGGGAAGGCCCTGAAGGCCCTTGGGGCTGGGAGATAGCCGCCCCAGATAAAGCTTGGCTCCTGGAGCCAGAGTCCAGCTGCTCAAGGCAGTGGCCAGAGCCCCTCATCCTCTCCTAGGACGGCTCGCCGCAGCCCTCCTGGTGGTGCAGTCTCAGTGCCACCTGGGCACAGGGGCACCTTAGTGGGTCTCATGCTCACAGTCAGAGCTGGACCCTCATCCCTGGACGGTGAGGAGACCGAGGTGGGGAGCGGTTCCTCCAGTCAAGACTGGGACCCCACCTGTCATCCGGGCCTCATCCTATTGCGTTGCCCCCGGTCCTGGGAAAACCAGGCCTGTGACTTAGTCCTTCCCTTCCTTCCTGTCCTTCACCCCCTCCACTCCCAGGCGCCTTCACTCCTGCTCTCTGCCTTAACTCCTCCTCCTCCTCCCCCCACTCCCGGATCCCAGGCCCCGGGTGCCTGCCACCTGGCTCTAAATCTGGCTCTCGGCTTCACCATCAGGGCACAAGGGAGGCTGGGGTAGCTAGCCTCAGCAAACCTTCCCTGTCTACCTGTGGATTTCAGGTTCTTCTCAGGAAGCTTCCAGTCAGCTAGAGACTGTAAGAATACCTCCCCACCCTCCTGGAGTAAGCATTTTCATCAACATACTCGCAGACGCCTCCCCACTCGGATCCTCATCAGATCCCTGAGGCAGGTTCTTATCCCTCAGGTGGCAGCAAAGGAATCTGAGATCACAGGAGCCCAGGGCCTTGCCTCAGCGCGCCCAGCTCCAGCCCTGGGCTAGCGGGTCAGAGAAGACAGTCTGCAAACCAGTCAGGCTGCGGTGGCATCACCCAGACTGTCATCTTCATGCCCCTGGAGAGGGTCTCCACCCGTGTCCAGCTCTAGAAGTCCAGATGTGACTGTGTCTCCATTTTCCAGCTAAGCAGGGGCCAGAGGCAGGGCTGGGCTGCACTGCTTCTCCAGCTGTGGTCAGGCAGGGTGTCCGGGAGCCTGACGGACAGCTCTGGAGTGAGGTGCACGTGCACTTTTCCCAGAGCACATCTGGGAGACCCTAGTTCATTGGACATTCATAGGCACAACGGAGAAAAGAATAAGTGGCCAAGTGTTTTGGGAAACTCTAGGTTTCTTGCTACACAGATCTGCAACCTGCAGGACTTCTCAGAGCCTTTAGTATGCTAATATGCATAATGTGCTAATATGCATTGCAAATTTCCAAGAGGGGAACAAGTAGCCAGCATTTCCCAAACATCTTTGACCAAGCTCCCGCTGGCTCTCCAGCCTCAAGGACTTCAGGCTGCAGAGTGCACTTTAGAAAGCATCCTTGTAACTGAGAGGGGTGAGTGCAGAAGGGCCAAGTTGCAGGGACGGGAGTTTCCCTATGAAGTTTGTGATGGACCTCAGAAGGGGATAAACTGTGGCATGGTCTCACTCTGGGACAGATGAGCTTCGGAAATGAAAAACATGCCATATCTTATTTATTTGGCTCTGTGTGTGTGTTTCTGGGAGAGGGAGAGGTGAGTCTTCACTGAGACTCTCTGCCAGTGGCAGGGGTCTTTGAAGTGTAAATTCTGGGGTTGGGGTGGGCCACTAGTGGTTCTGAGCTCCCTTCTCAGGTACTGGGGCCCCACCAGTCCTAACCTCGCCCCAGCCTTGGAGGTGGAACCTGGGTTAGGGTGAAGGCTGGATGCGAGACTGGCCTTCAAAATGGATCAAGGTTTGGGGTGAGGCTGAGGTTGAAGCAGGGGGTGACAAGAGAGTTGGGGTGTGAGAATGCAAGGGTTAATGAGAAGGTGCTTCTGTGGGGCCCTTCCTGGCATTAGAAAAGCTGAGGTTCCTGCAAGTGAGGTTCCTGCAAGTGCGTACCCTGTTCCTGCCCACCGCTCCACACCAGATGCCTGCAGCCTGGGAGGGAGGGAGCTAGGAAGGGGTAGGGGAGACACAAAGGCTTCTGGTCACGTGGACAAAGGTGGTGGCAAACCCTGTGCCCTGCAAGTTGGTGGCCTGGCAGGTGTAGACACCGGTACCGCTGGCCCAGGTCTCTTCCACACGTAGGGTACTCTCTGCCTCCTGCTTCACCTGGCCTTCCCAGTTTACTGTCGGTACACTCACTGACACACCAGGGGGTGGGGGTGGGGGCCAGCTGCAGGGGACAGAAAGTGACTGTCAGCTGCCATCTCTGATGCAGGCACCCATCAGCAGGTCAAGGGCACTGTGTCCCCTTCAGATAAGAGGGAAGTGACCCGCCTGAGGTCCTGTTTGGCTTGGTGTCAGAAAGTGACCTAAAGGCCAGATTCTCTGTAAAAACTGTTAAGCCTCTCAGGGCCCCAGCGAAACTGGGGTCCCCTCCCCTACTCAAAGAGCATCTCGGAGTAACCTGGAGCAGCATTTGCCCATGTGGGTTTGTGGCCCTCTGATTCTCTAAGGATATTAGCCAGAGCATCCTCACTAAAGCGGGGGAGGTGGGGATTCCATTATCAAAAATGTCCAGGGAACACTGAGTCAAGCAAACTGGAACTGAGGAGGCCCAGACCATGATCTGCCACGTTTGCACGTCTGTTTCGATTCTTCAAGGCAGGTGACAACTGCAAGAAGTGATATTTTCCTGAGAACACATTTTGGGGCACTGGGGCAGGGCGGGAGGTCACTATCTGGTGTCCTGCCATTCAAAGGAACATGACAGGGCATGCTGGCATAGCAAGCCAGTGTCCCCCAAGCATCTGTGTGTTCCTTTCTCCTCCTTGGGTCTCAGTTTCCTCTTCTGATGGGGGGGGGCAGAGCATGATCCCCAACCCTGTCTACCTCTTCAGGTCTCGGTGAGTTCCTCTTTGTCATGCATGAGCTGAGTCCAGCCCTCAGCCAGCCACTGCAAGCCACAGAGATGGGCCGGAGTCACTGTGTACTGGCTCAGGGTATCCGAGAGCAACTGGGGCAAAGCAGAGCCAGAGCAGCTTAAGGGGGAACAGGGCACGCTTACTGGGTCCGCTTACTGGGTCCTCCAGCCTCCCTTTGAGGCTGCTGAAAATGGTCACCTTACACACAAGCCACAGCTTACAGGGCCCCTCATTTCCTCTCTGTACTTCTCGTAAGTGCGCTTTGCTGGGCGGTGCTCCCTCAAGGACCTTTCTGCCCTGCGTGTTTCTCTTGACACCCAGCACCTACGTAAGGTCCGCTCAGTGCTCAGGCATTGCTGATGGTCTCTAGGAATCTGAAGACGGATGCTTGGGTCCCTTGCTCCCATGCTCCCCTGCATTTTCAGCAGGTGGCAATGGTGGGACAGGTAGGTCTCTGGGTCTCCATGTGTGGCATGTCCACCCTTATTCTTGCTGCCATGTGTCTGGAAGATTCCACTCACCTAAATCCTGTGTTCTAATGCTCCTATCAAATTCCAGCTCTTCCAGGAAACTCTTTTAAGGATTCCTAAAGTCAGGCCCAGCCACAGTGGTGCTACTGCCTGAGGCCGAGGCCAAATGGGAATCCTGGGTTCAGGTCCTGAATCACCCTGGTGGGCCAGGCATAGTAACACGCTGCCGTTGTAATCCAGCTGGAGGCTGGGGCAGAGGACAAGGAAGGGGAAGCCCTTTCAAACATACCTCTCAAAGATGACTTCCCTCCCAGCTCCTGGGCCTGGTTTTGGGGGGACTTGGGGGCAGGGAAGGATCGCCAGAAAACAAAGGTTTTAAGAGTTTAATTTCGCATTCTTGGATTAGGCTGGTGTTGAGGGGGAGTGGTTGAGGAGGTGGGCACAGTTTGCGGTGGATTTTGGATAAACAAGATCTGATGAAGGAACGTCAAAAGGACTTAAAAGTTTCTCTCAGAAGAAGAGTATTGGAAATTGCAAATATTCTTTACAAATGTTATCCAAGCATTAGGTGAACATCTTAAGTTAAGGCAACAAGTTATTGCCACTGCTACAGTCGGGTATGCTCTACAAGTATAGATCCTGTACTGAGGGCTCCTACATGTGTGTTATTGGCATCCAAAGGGGAGGAATTTGGTGTCGTCTCAAATAAAAAAATTGATTTCTGCTGCTACTTCTGTATTAAAAACTTCCCAAAGGAATTTCCTTATAGGATGAATCATAGATTAGAATTGAATTCTGTCTTTTAGAACTAATGGATTGTTGAGACCAGCAGTTAGTGTAATAGCTATGTCGCTGGACTCCCATGTAGTCGACCGCGGTTCGAGTGGATGCCCACAAAACAGTCTAAGGCTTCTGGTCCATGGGTTCGGGAGAGGAAGATGAATGAGAGGGTAGAGATCAGGATAAGCATATTGACTGAGTTGTTAAGATAGTTGAATTGACGGCAGGAAGATGGATGTCTCGAGAAGTGGACATGAGTAGAGAATCACTCTCCCTACTATCAGGAGAGAAAACTGAGACTCGAGGGGAAAGGAACATGTGGACGCTTGGGGGACACTGACTTGCTAGGCAGTCACGCCCCTGTCATATTCCTTGGGATGGCAAGATACCAGAAAGTGCCCTCTTGTCCCACCTACACACACACAGTCTTGGGGACTGGGCACTTGCTCAAGTTCCATTTGTATTGTTGGGGCCAGTTTGGTCTCTGCTTGAATGTCCCCAGCGATGACTCCCTGACCACTCTATCTTAAATGGCCTATCACATTGCTTTGCTCTGTTTTATTTTCACTGTAACACTTAGCATTCTTTACATGGTCATATTTGCACATTTCCCTCTTCCTCCTTCCTGTTTAGACTATAAGCTTACAGAGAGCAGAAGTCATATCCCTTTTTAACTTGTCATTGTAGGCTCAGCGTCTAGAACAGTGTCTGGAATGTGGTGGATGCCAGTCATTATTCCTGGACAAATTAACAAAGGAACAAATTATACATTCTTATACAGTAATCTGAGAAGCATCTTTATTTGACAAATGAGGAAACTGAGGGCCAGAAAAGGGAAGTGACTTGCCTCAGGTCATTCAGAGAAGCAGCATCAGAGCTGGGACTAGAATCCAAGTTCGTCAGCTTCCCAGTCAAGCAGTGATTCCTTTCTGCCATAATTGCTCTTGACACTCATCCTAATCCCTCACTCCTACCCACCTGCGCTGTTGCCCCATCACCACCACCACATCGGTGCATACGCACGGCTTCCTTTACCCTACCCTTCGCTTACCTTCTGCCCTGGATATTCCCGGTCACAGTCCACAGCAATCTCAGGCTCACCCAGAACTGTGCAAGTTACACTGAAGTGGTCCCCTCGTTGGACTGATGGCTTTGAAGCGTGTATGGTGGGTTTGGGAGAGGAAGATGGATCTGTCATGGATGAGAGGGTAGAGAAGAGAGGGATAAACATGTTGACTGAATTGTTAGGATGGCAAGAGGGTGGATGGAGAAGCAGATGAATGGAATGAATGGGAGGAATGGTTAAACAGAGAGGATGAGTGGTTGAGTGGGTTGAATTGATAGACGTGCAGATGTGTGAATGAGTGTGGAATGAGGAATTAACGAAGGATGGGTGGATGGAGGAATGGCTGATGCCAGGGAGACTGGATGGCTGAATGGAATTGTCTGACTTGACTGGGGATGGGTGGATGGGTAGAAAGGCCGCACAGAAGCATTCGAGCTCAATTGCTGACTGGCTGGTTGTCTGGGCAGAATGGTTGACTACAGAGTGTTGTTGAAAGCTGATTGGTTGTTTAGAGCTTCATAATTCACGTATCTCAAACCTGAGGTTCCCAAAGGAGGTATTTGTCCCCACAGCTCCCCCTTCCCTACCCTTAGCCCTAGGCCCACACGCAGTTGACGTAGTTAAGCGTGTACTTGGTAGATATTTGTCTCATGCCACCTAGGTTGGCCAAGCAGAAGAGAAAGCCAGCTAAGGAAGCCTGGGCCGGTGGATGGTGAAGCCTTTCTTCACATCGAAGGAGATGTCTGTCCCACCCACTGGGACCTCCTCAGGGGGCAACTCCTGGTGCAGTGTCACCTCAGCCAGGGGAAGCAGGGTTGGCTGATGAGTGCACATCTGCACGACCTCATAGTAATCCTCCATAGGAACAAAGAGCTTCTCTAGGTCTGGGAACACGGGAGAGAGAAAAATAAGTCAGGATGAATTCATTGCTTCCTGCTGCTCCTCCACCACCCAAGAGCATGTTCCTCCTGGGAACTTAAAACCTCTCTTTCCACGCCCATCCCTACTCTCCATGTCCTTTCCTCTCTTGTAAGTGGTCCTGGACTGAGGATGTTTACAACGAGCCTACGAGGACCAGCTGTCATTCATTTTCTGGGAGCCTTTTTTTTTTTTTTTTTTTTGAGAGGTTTTTGCTTTGGGGCGGGGGGGCGCGAGAAAGTGAGAAATCACCCCCCAGAGGGGATGGACACACCACAATCCCTTCTCCTCCATTCTCCTCTCGGGATCTTGGATACACACGCACACGCGCCCGGCGTGAGTTTAAGCCACCGGGTCTGGGACTCGAACCACGGTCGACTACGTGGGAGTCCAGCAACATAGCCATTACACTA